AAGCTCTTCATGGGTAGAACCATACGTACAGCGTTATCCATTGGAACTAGCACTTTGAACAAAGAGGTTCCAAAATAGAATTATTAGTGCAGATGACACACATTTCAGCACATATGACCCAGCTACCTTGTTTTAGCCCTTAAGTTAAAGAGCATGAGTTTCAGGTTCAGCTGGATATGGACACTTTTATTTCCTGGCAGCATGTCTTTGAATGGGTTATTGAACCTCATGGAGCCAATTCATATGTAGACCAGGAATGATCATATCTGCTTCATAGTATGGTTCAAAGGGTAATGTGAGGAAAGAGTCATACTGTACCAGGCACATAGGAGCACTCAATATGTGTTCATTTCCTGCATCGACGGCTCAAGGGAATCAAGCCACATTTCCCCTTGTAATGTCCACATTGCTCAAGGGAATCAAGCCACATTTCCCCTTGTAATGTCCACCATTATCTCCTTTAAAAAGTTGCTGTTTGGAGAGCAGGACCAAATAACTTGATTCTGGCTTTAAGCAGAGCAATGGCAGCAATGTTACAGGGTTAGAGATTGGTTTGTGGCCTCTTTTCAATGTGATTAGCTTCCTCCATGGTGGATGGCATATCTGGTCGGTCAGATTACTTTCTTCTGGGAGTTCTTTCAGTTATCCTCCAGTTATATATCTCATATAGTGCTTTACTCTGGTCTTTGCTTGTTATTCCAAAAATTACAGAAGGTAGGCAAGAAGAGCATAAACCATCTGAACCGCAATTGCTTGGAAAATTCTGTCGCCTTTTTAGACAAGATATTGCCTATCTTTTGTGGAGAAAAGGTCAGTGCCTTATTTTTAAATATCTGACAGCAGCGCACATCATCTTTAAAACAATAATTCCAGAAATACCAGGATTGCATTTAACGTGAATGAACCTAGCTTCATGAGGTTGGTTTTCTCCTCTCATTAATTTCTTTGCCGTGGAAATTGTTTAGCAATGAGACCTGTTGTACTAAGTGAAATAACTCAACAGAATGACAAGGAAAAAACAACTCTGCCACTTTCAAATTTAACAGCAAATTTTTAGAACCATGATTTAGAAAATGGAAGCAAGGAATCCCATTATTTGCAGAATTTTTTTATTCTATTTTGTGACATACAAATTTTCTAAATTATCCTGATTAATGGATCCTATGTTGATTTTTTTGTCAAGTTCATATTGATTTACCTAGGGGAAATGATCAAAAAATAAAGTTCAATGAAATAAATATTACTGAATACCTACTCTGGGTACCATGGTGGGAAGTGCTGGAAACATCCAAAGGAGACAGGTCTGACCTCATGGAACTCAGTCCAGGAGGGAGACAGTTATAAATCAACTATCACAGAACGAAGAGGCAGGGATTTTAATGGTGACTGGAGCAAAAGACTATGGAGCAGCGTAGACAAACTTTTTCTGTAAAAGGGCAGACAAAATATTTTAGGCTTTGCAGGCCAGCTTGTCAGGCCACCTTGTCTCAGTGGCGGCTACTCAGCTCTGCTGCTATCACAAAAAAGCAGCCATAGAGGGACTTCCCTGGTGGCGCAGTGGTTAAGAATCTGCCTGCCAACACAGGGGACACGGGTTCGGGCCCTGGTCCAGGAAGATCCCACATGCTGCGGAGCAGCTAAGCCCATGCGCCACAACTACTGAGCCTGTGCTCTAGAGCCTGCGAGCCACAACTACTGAAGCCCACGTGCCACAACTACTGAGCCTGCCCTCTAGAGCCGGCGAGCCACAACTGCTGAGCCCGCGTGCCTAGAGCCCGTGCCTCATAACAAGAGAATCCACCACAGTGAGAAGCCCACGCACCGTGACGAAGAGTAGCCCCCGCTCACCGCAACTAGAGAAAGCTTGCATGCAGCAACGAAGACCCAACACAACCAAAAATAAGTAAATAAATAAATTAATTTTTTTAAAAAAAGAAAAGGTCATTTATTAAAAAAAAAGCCATAGACAACCCATAAATGAGTCAGCATGACTGTATTTTCAGTAAAACTTTATAGACACTGAAATTTGAATCTCATAATTTTCATGTGTCATGAAGTTTTATTTCTTCTCTGGATTTTTTTCAAGCACTTAAAAATGTAAAACTCATTGTTAGCTTACAAAAACAAATGGTGGGCTGGATTTAGTTTGCAGGTTATTTAGGGCCAAAGATGATTATTTGTAATAATTTACTAGAATAATTTGATAATATTTCAGTAGATTTTATAGTGTTATCCAGTTAGACTTGAAGCTCTGTATATAGCACCCTGGTTCTGTTGCTTATTTCACATTATAAGCATCTTTTCAAGAGATGCAGAAGACATTTTCCCATCTATTGTGTGGTCCTTGCAATTCTGGAGACATGTGGGAGGGGTAACAAGGAGATGAAGTTGACTTCTTTTGCATAATACTAAGTAGCAGTGCATTCAGTCAAATATAAATTAGACATCTAACACCAAAGTCTAGAAAACAGAGCTTGGCAGTTACCTGCTGGTATTTAGAAAACAAAAATGGCCAAACTGGATAATTCCACTGAAAGACAATTTGTTAGTCTAAATCCTTTGAGTTGATAAAGGAAATGTTTGTGCCCGAGCTTTGAACCCGGGCATAGCTTTTTGCCAGCTGCTTGACCTTGAGTCTGGAGGGTATGGGAGATTGTGGACCGCAGAGCAACAGACCAGAAAAACAGCTGATGGTGGGCTAAAACGTTTTCGGTGAGGGACTCACCTATACAATTTGCATGCAACTGACAGCCTCCATGAGTCAACTCAGTTCCTAAAACCCACCAGAGTAGTTGGCTTGCTAAGGGCTCCTGTGTAACCCACCAAACCTAAACTGAAGCCAAGACTTGTCTACACTGACCAGTCAGTTTCCTTGAGAAACTGTGACTTTTTTCCTAACACAGTGTTGCAGGTCAATTACACTTCAAAAACAAACAAAAGAACATACAAAACAAACAGTGAAACATGGATCAGATTTGTAGTTACCGAGGGTGGAAGGTGGGGTGATTGGATGAAAGTAGTTAAAAGGTACTGCAAGCTTCAGGTTGTAAGATAAGTACTAGGGATGTAATGGACAACATGATAAATATAATTAACACTGCTGTATGCTGTATATGAAAGTTGTTAAGAAAGTAAATCCTAAGAGTTCTCATCACACACAAAATTTTTTTCTATTTAATTGTATCTATATAAGATGATGGATGTTCACTAACCTTATTGTGATAATCATTTCATGATATATATATCAAATCATTATGCTGTACACCTTAAACTTATACAGCGCTCTAAGTCCATTATATCTTAATAAAACTGGAAAAAAATAAATTACCATTATAAAAAAAAAAAGAAGTACTCGTTAAAGTATATTTCTTTCACTGGACCCACCCCCCAGAGTTGCTTATTCAGAAGGTCTGGGGTGTGGCCTGTGAGTTCGCATTTCTAAATTTCCAGGTGCTGCTAATGCAGCCCATCTGGGACCACATTTTGAGAATTACTACTCTATTTGTCTACGGGTTATTTTTTTGACAGTTAAACTGAAGATCTCATCCCACAGACCCTAATCTATGTTGGATCAGATTCTCCCAGCCTTATCTGGCACTAAATGCACTTTAACACTCACCTTGTTACCATCTTTAATTTTCCTTTATTGGAAGAATTATTTATTCATGTATTTTCCTCACACTTTCCTTTGCTGACATGATCTTCCTCCCTCAAAGAAAAAGAATAAATAAATAAAATGGAACCATTCTGCCTTTTGAAAAAAATTAAGATGCTACTGCTACTCTTTAAAAATAGTATGTTAAAAATATACACCAGGGCTTCTCTGGTGGCACAGTGGTTGAGAGTCCGCCTGCCGATGCAGGGGACAGGGGTTCGTGCCCCGGTCCGGGAAGATCCCACGTGCCACGGAGCGGCTGGGCCCGTGAGCCATGGCCGCTGAGCCTGCGCGTCCGGAGCCTGTACTCCGCAACTGGAGAGGCCACAGCAGTGAGAGGCCCGCATACCGAAAAAAAAAAATATATATATATATATATACCAGACAAGATTTTTAATAAATTTAAATTTAATCATGAGCTTCCCCAAACAAGAAAGAACTCTGAAAATTATAGCTTAGCTTATGAATCTGATCTTTTAGATTTCTTTAGGAAAATCTGTTCAAAACACAACCACATCAGCATTACTGGAAATGTTTGAATAGAAATCAGATTGTAAAAACCACGTGGATCCAGCCCACATACATGAGAAAGTGGAAAGGTGGACAGTGAGTTAGGGGGATTATTGCTACTCCAACGACTAGTACTTGTGAGGGGAGGGGCAGAAGGGGCCCCTTCTCTCTCGCTATGCCGTTCTTGCCATCTGGGTCCCCAAAGTAGCATTGCTTAAGCCCAGAATGAACACAGTCTCCAGAAAAAATTCTCCTTCCGCTTTTGGTCTTCACTCCTCTAATTTCTGGGGCTCAAATTCAGTCCTAGGATCCAGGAACAGACGGTAAGTCATTACTTCCATTGTCCCCTACAACCGCAGTTTTAACTGAAAATGGAGAATTGGTAAATAAGTGGCAGTATCAAGACTATATGATTATCTGTATCCAGTATGGTATCGGCGCTGAGAGTGGAATGCTGGAGTGTGAGGCCTCGGTCATCACCTTGTGCATCTGCCCTACAGGATGCATCCCCAGGTGTTGGCTCATTTCTAAGCGTGTGAGTGTGTGTGTGTGTATATCTGACGCGGTGTGTCCCCAGGTGTATCGGGGTCCAACATGGACTCAAAAGGCTGACCCTGAACGCCCCGGTGGGACGCGTTAGAGCGTGTGCGCCCGTCTGGCTCCCGGCGCGTGCCCAGGTGTGCACGCGGCCCGCGCAGGCAGGTACACGGTCCCTCCTCCAGGGGGCGCCGCCGGGGGCGGCCTCCTGGGGCGGCCGCGCCAGCCTCGGCCAGGATTTCCGCTCCGCCCCCCTGGCCCGCTCTCCCAGACGGCGCCGCGCTCCGAGGCAGGTGAGGAGCTGGGCTCGGGCCGAGCCGGGGTCCCTGTGCCCGCCCCCGTCCCCGCCGCCGCGAGGGTGCCCTCGAGGCCCCGGGGACTCGGGGTGTTGCTGCCGGCGTGTCGCGCCAGGGCGGAGTCCGGGGCCCGCGTGAGTCGGGGAGGGAGAGGCGGGGGGGGGCGGGGGGGGGGGGAGGCGCCGAGGGGCTGGGGCAGAGCCTGGGCCGTGAAGGGACGCGGGCGCCTGTGGGACCAGCTGGAAGGGAGGGGACACGGGGCCGCTACGCGCGTCCACACGTTGCTCCGCGCGGCGCGAGGCGGACGCCACCGCCAGAACGACGGGGGGCAGGGAGAGTTGGGAACTGCCTGCAGGTGTGCACGCTGCCCCTTCCCAGTAAGGAAGAAGCGATGACCATTTAGAAGGTAGTTTTAAAAGGATCTCGCAGTATAATGAGGCTGACGCTTTAGAGAAATTCTGTTTTTAACTGGAGATTCTTGTTTGCGAGGAGACCAGAAGCTGCAAAAGAAAAAAACCCAAAACTTTTGGCGTTTGTCAGTTTCTGAGCTCAGGTTTCTTTGGAGCCGTTAGTGACGCAGATGAGTTTTTGGAGAAATTTCTCTTACTGCCTGATTACGAAATATGGTTATTGAGCTTTCACTCTGTTGGCCAAAGAGCACCGCAGCTGCACTGGAAACACTAAATAGGTGCACGGTTCTTTGAACACACCTTTCTGACTCCAGGCTGACTGTTAATATTGAACTGATAAGAAAATGAGACTTGTGGCCACGTCTTCTCAAAGCAGGTTATTAATTTTGCTCAATGTCCCAGGGAGAAGTCCTGTATTAAAAACTAAAGTGTCTCTCTAAGGGTGTGGAGAAAAGGGAACCCTCTTGCATTGTTGGTGGGAATGTAAATGGATACAGCCACTGTGGAGAACAGTATGGAGGTTCCTTAAAAAGCTAAAAATAGAACTACCATGCGACCCAGGAATCCCACTACTGGGCATATACCCTGAGAAAACCACAATTCAAAAAGTCATGTACCAAAATGTTCACTGCAGCGCTATTTACAATAGCCAGGACATGGAAGCAACCTAAGTGTCCATTGACAGATGAATGGATAAAGAAAGCGTGGCACATATATACAATGGAATAGTACTCAGCCATAAAAAGAAACGAAATTGAGTTATTTGTAGTGAGGTGGATGTACCTAGAGTCTGTCATACAGAGTGAAGTAAGTCAGAAAGAGAAAAACAAATACCATATGCTAACACATATATATGGAATCTAAAAAAAAAAATGGTTCTGAAGAACCTAGGGGCAGGACAGTAATAAAGAGACAGACGTAGAGAACGGACTTGAGGACACGGGGAGGGGGAAGGGTAAGCTGGGACGAAGTGAGAGAGTGGCATGGACATATATACACTACCAAATGTAAAATAGATAGCTAGTGGGAAGCAGCCGCATAGCACAGGGAGATCAGCTCAGTGCTTTGTGACCACCTAGAGGGGTAGGATAGGGAGGGAGCCGCAAGAGGGAGGAGATATGGGGATATATGTATATGTATAGCTGATTCATTTGTTACAAAGCAGAAACTAAGACACCATTGTAAAGTAATTATATGCCAATAAAGATGTTAAAAAAAACCCTCAAAAACTGAAAGGTCTCTAAGTCAGTTGGATTGACCAATATAAAGAGTAGGTCTTTTTTTTATATATAAAGTTATTTATTTATTTATATTTGGCTGAGTTGGGTCTTCGTTGCTGCACGCGGGCTTTCTTTGGTTGTGGCAAGCGGGGGCTACTCTTCGTTGTGGTGTGTGGGCTTCTCATTGCGATGGCTTCTCTTGTTGCGGAGCACGGGCTCTAGGCGCGCGGGCTTCAGTAGTTGTGCACGTGGACTCAGTAGTTGTGGCTTGCGGGCTCTAGAGCGCAGGCTCAGTAGTTGTGGCGCACAGGCTTAGTTGCTCCGCGGCATGTGGGATCTTCCCGGACCAGGGCTCGAGCCCATGTCCCCTGCATTGGCAGGTGCATTCTTAGCCACTGCGCCACCAGGGAAGCCCAAGAGTAGGTCTTACACACACGTTTTTATGTACTTTTTCCTGTAATTGAAGACATTCTCCCTGGTCTCTCTCAATTAATTGAAATGCTAATGTGGAGAGCCCCCGCAGGTTGCCCTCATTTTCCCCAAATGCCTTGTTTTCCTGAACTGACTCCCAGGAGAAGCCAGAAGTCCCTGAATAAGCAGGCTGCCCGGGTAGAGAGCATTTGTATTTCAAACGCTGAGTTTGCAAAGGTAAATTAATTTCTAATTGGTGGACCTTTGTACAGAAGGGTTTTGGACTAGCTGACCTCGAAAACAAGGGTGCTGACGACTAGCACTAGTCTTAGAGAAGGTGGTTATTCACGCTGGCCTTAGGTAGCCGCAGTAGGAAGTATATAGAATAGAGCAGGGATAGAAACCGATACTGTTTAAGTTTTTTAATTACCTGTACATTTCCCTCTTATTTTATGTAGTAAGCTCTCTTGAACGTTCCAATCTGGGTCAGCTCTTCCAAGTGGAGTCATTGAAGGGCTTTGCACCCACAGTCAGCCGGGCCTTTCCGAGGGGGTAGGGCAACCCCTGCAGGCCGGTGTGGAGGTGAGTGCTGCAGTGTTTGCAGACGGATTGGTCCCAAGGAAGGTGATAACAGGAGGACAAAATTCAAGTGATCTTAGCAGTCTTTTCTAGAACCTCCTCCATCCAGAGGTAACCCTTAGATTAGAGATTTTATTAAGAGAGTGTTGGTTAAAACAGGGCCAGCATCTTGTTTAACAGGAATTTGGTCTTTAATTGAAGGTCTCTGGGTCCGTGAAACTGCTCAGGGCAAGTCAGCCTTGCCTTGATTAGATCTGAGAGCTGTGTAGGCAGAGCTTACTCTGTGAAAGGTGTTATTACCTTCCCCCCCCCCCCCCCACACACAATGGGTTTACAGAGAAGACCAAGTTACTGGAAGTCTCAGGGTTTGTATGGCATCATGAGGTAATAGACATGGTCAATAGCTAAAATGTTAAGGAGGATGAAGCATAATAAATGCCCAACAGCAGTCGGAGCCCAGGGAGATGAATTCCCTCCGGAGGACTTGGCGAGGTCACGTTTGTGCTTTACCTTGGGCCCAGAGTAGAAGTTTTATAGGCAGAGAAGTGGAATGGGGGCGGGCATTCCTGGAGGTGGATGCCTGGAGCAAGGTAAGAAGTTTAAAAGGTAGCCATTGTGAGAGAGATGGGCGAAACTCTGCAAGGAGGGTGGGAGGCCTGCCTAGAGAGAAAGGCTGTCTGGAGATAAATTCTACTTTTTGATCAAAGCTCTGATTTTCCCCCCCTTTTTATTAAAGCAAATATAAAAGTAAAGGGAATAGTATAATGAACTTCCATATATCCATCAAATAGATTTAACAGTTGGTTAAAACGATTTCTCTTTTTGGCCATATCTGCTTTATCTTCTTGTTGAAGCAGTTTAAATTGCAGATAACAATATTCACCCCTAAGCAGTGTGGTGTGCACCTCCAGAAAAGGGCATTTTCTTGTATAAGCATAATACCATTGTCACCTCCTAATCAAATTGACAATAATTCCTTAATGTTTTCTAAAACCTAGTCCACAGATTTCCTTGATTGCCTCAGAAATGCACTTTTACTTTCGGTTTGTGTGAATCAGAATGGGACACACGTGGTGTTTTGTTGATTATCTGTTGCCTTTTAATCCAGGACAGGGGGTTGGCAAACTTAATGAAAAGGGCCAGTTACTCACTCTTCAGGCTTTTCAGGCCATGTGGGCTCCATTGCAGCTACTCAGCTGTGTTGTCCTACAGAAGCAGCCATGGATGATACGAACGTGAATGAGCATGGCTGTGTTCCAATAAAATTTTGTTTTCAAAGTTTTTTGTTTTAAACTCCACCAGCAGGCAGCAGGTATCTGAGGGCCAAAGTTTGCCGATCCTGGTCTAGAGCAGTCCTGTGGGCTTCTTTAATGCCCGTGATTTACTGGTATTGCTCGGTTGGCTATGGGTGGCTCTCATTCTGGATTTATTCAGCTTTCTGTATAGTGTGGTTTAGCTTGTTCCTCTGTCCCCTGTATCTCCTGTAAACTGGAAGGTAGATCTAAAGGCTTAATTAGAGTCAGAGTCACCATTCATGGCAAGTATACTTCAGATGTGGTTTGGTGGTTCGAATTTTTTTTTTTTAATAAACTTATGGCTTCAAAAAACTCGGAAACCCCCATTCAGGAAGCTCCATATTCCTAAAATAAGCTTTGCCTGATGGCTGAAGATACACTTTTTTTCCATTCTCATTTTCCTTACTTGAAGGAGAGGACGTAGCTGCTATTTCTCAAGAAAGTCCAGAACTTTGAACCCCTCTGCTAGGCCAGTGCGAGCTTACTGCTCTTCTAGGCATCCTGCGGCCCCTCGGGCTGGTGGATCACGTTTTTGCACTGAACGGCAGTTCCTTCCATGGCCCACCCCCAAGTTCTGAGATGCCATCCGAGGGGCTGGGTGAAGTGCTTTTGTCTTTTAAGCCCCTCATCTCTTAAACTCTTTCTTCACTCCCCTTTCTCTTCATCTCACCCCTGGCAGGACTGAGAACTGGATACTTGTCCATGGGCTTCTGGTCATGCTGTGAGGCAGGACGGCTTCTGGTGTCCTGTTCAGAAGGATTCTGAGGTCAAACGCTTTTCAGACTCAGACTCACTATGATGTGGGATTCCAGGGCAATGCGGTTTTGAAGAAACAAGCTTACAGGTGAGAGTTATTTTTTTCCTCTTTTCTGGAATGTTTGCTGTTCCTAAACTGTAGAGCACCAGAGGAGGTATGTTGATAAGAGTGTCAGTTGGAAGTCCTGTCTTTCTGTCTTTTAGGAATAGTAGGGAAACTGTCTGTTCTTCCCTGAACACATTTTTCCAGATAATGTGCCTTTGGTCTTTTTCTTACTGATTTGTAAGAATTCTTTATACATTGAGGGTGCTAATCTTTCGTCATATATGTTACAACTACTTCCCCATTTTTTCTTTTTACTTTGTTTACAGTACTTACACTCTGCAGAAACATTTAATTTTAACATAGGGAAAAAATGTCAATCTCCCCTTTACAGTTTCCTTGTTTTGTGTTTTGCTTAGAAAGACCTGCCCATTTCAAGATCTTTTTTTAAAAGTCTGTGTTAACACAGATAAATGACGAAAACTAGGAACATGTGATTCTGAAAAAGAATACTGAAGGGGGCTCTTTCTACCAAAGACTATAATATTTTGGCTTTAAAATGGGCCCTACATTGATAAGTCTTGAAGTTGGGAGATGGGTATTTGGGGGAATCATTATATCATTATTTCTGTATATATTTGACTTCCCAAGATAAAAAAGTTTTCTGAAAAAAAAGAACAGTAGGCGGAAAAGCCATTTTGTCCCATTCGTATTCAGCAACTATTATCTACTGTGTGCTGAATACTGGGAGTATTTTGTCAATAAAGGCGCAAAATCTTGGAACGTATATTTCTCACATAAGAGGCAGATGTTCATGTCATGGTTGAGGACACCACCTCCTGTGTTAAGACTGCCTGGCTTCAAAACCTGGCTCTGCCACATACTGGCTGGGTGATTTTGAACTTTTTAATTTAAAACATGCGGGATAATAATCGTGTCTACCTGATAGGGTTTTGGGGCGGCTTGAATGGGAAAACGCACGAAAATTCCTTTGCGTGGTACTTAGCATTTCGTAAATGCTCAAGTGTAGACTCTGAGGAAGAGAATACAGTAACTTCAGTCAAGCCAGGACCACGGGAGAGGAGCAGGTGCTGAGAGAGGTATGGAGCGGGGTCATGACCTCGCCTGGGCTGCTTGAGTAGGGTTGGGAGAACTTTTCAGAGGAGTAGACTTTTGAGTGGAGATGTGAGACATGGAAAACACATCTTTTAATCAAAAGTGCCCTCCTTTGTGGCGAAATGAGGAGGGCAAGGTGACAGCAGAGAAAGGGCCCAGGCGAGGGCTGGGCGACTAGAAGAAGCAGGTTTGACTTTGTCTTAGTTTCCCGGTGCTGCCAGAGCAAGTGCTGCCAACTCCATGGCCTGAAACCACCCTGATTGACTGTCCTGTTCTTCAGGCCAGGAGTCCAGCTGGGTGTCACTGGGCTGAAATCAGGGGCTGTGTCCCCTCCTGGAGGCTCTAGAGGAGAATGTGTTTTCTCGACTCTGCATCTCCCACTTGAGAGGGAGCAGCGCTGCGTCCCTCAGACACCCCCACCCCCCCCCCCCGCCCTGGCCCCCGCCCGCTCACGGTTCCCTGCACCCAGCCAAGAAAGCGGCTGGGTAGTTCTGGTGATGGAACTGCTCTATATGGTTACAGGAATCAGTCAACTTTAAAACTCATAGAACTATACAACAAAAAAGGTCATTTTACTTTATATAAATTCTAATAATAAAGAATGAAAGCATGAGAGCATGCAACTATTGTAAAACACTGAGTTAAAAATAGAAGGTAGACATAAGAATAAGAGCATTCTGAATTAAGCTAAGATGGCACACATCCACTATTATTATTAAAAGAGACTTCAGCAAGATACAAAGCAAAGACAATGAAAGAGCTTTGTTTTGATCTTGCTTTGAAAAAATCAGCCACACAGGCTATTTTAGACAACTGGGGAAATATGAATACAGCATATTAACGATTTTCTGTTCATTGTTAGGTAGGATTGTAGTTATTTAAAAACCTAAACTTTTGGGCTTCCCTGGTGGCTCAGTGGTTAAGAATCCACCTGCCAATGCAGGGGACACAGGTTCAAGCCCTGGTCTGGGAAGATCCCACATGCCACAGAGCAACTAAGCCCATGCGCCACAACTACAGAGCCTGCACTCTAGAGCCCGCGAGCCACAACTACTGAGCCCACGTGCCACAACTACTGAAGCCCATGCACCTAGAGCCCGTGCTCCGCAACAAGAGAAGCCACCGCAATGAGAAGCCTGCACACCACAACGAAGAGTAGCCCCCGCTCGCCGCAACTAGAGAAAGCCCACGCGCAGCAACGAAGACCCAACTCAGCCAAAAATAAATAAATTTATTTAAAAAAATAAAAACTAAACTTTTAAGTAAAATTCAGTACCAAAATATTTAGGGGTGAAATGACATAGTTTCAGGTATTTGCTTCAGAATTCTCCAGAAGCAAGCAAACGAACAAAAACTCAAAAAACAAAGAAAGGAGGGCAAATGGAACAGGTACGGCAAACCCAGGATGGTGCATGGATCCTGATGCTGTGTGAGTACACGAGGGCTTACTGTGCTCTGCTTTTGAAAAGGGCTGGAAATGTTTATAACAAAATGACAAGAAAAAAAAAAACCAGTGACTTATTCTTCATAAATGCTCTGAAGAATGCCATCAAACTGTTCTTTATTCATTTCGAAGATGTACTAATCTCCCCTCACAGCTTTTATTAGGCTTTTATAATCTGCATCTAACTTTGCAGAAAACCAAATCAAGGGAGAAAGAGTAATTCAAAGCAATTGTGATTCTTCTCAAAAATAAGGGCTTAAAGAATGCTTTTCAAAACTCATTTAATGCTCGTAAATTATTAAGACCATCATGAGATGTAGAAATATTAATAATTTTCATTAATTTATCTGCTGTATCCTCCTAAGTGCAGATGACAATGGCAGGAAGGGGTAATTAACGCTCAAATATTTTAAATCAATTGAATGTTACTGAATTAAATTTATATATCTTATAAATATTTTTGGTTTTCTGGTGATGTTCTACATTGAAATATGTTAAATATTCTATATTGGAAAATAAGTAAATTAAAACCAGATTATTTTATATAGATAAGGTCTTTCTTGAATCTCACCAGCTGACACATCAGAGTTGGCAGAGGATTACAGAATAGTGTCTGGGTACATGATCCGTTTTGCAGTGATCCAGTGTATCACCGCGTACATATGTATCTTGTGCGTGTCTCCTTCCTGTTTTACCGTTAGTGCCATGATTGCTCTTCCCGTCAGTTTTATGCTGGATTACATTGATGGGTGAATAGTTAATGACACGAGAGCAAATGGACATAAGCAGAGAGTAATTTCTTTGAATGCCTTTTAGCTGTGGTGAACACTGTTGTAGTTTAAAAATGGACTGCTTCCATATGTCTGAGGCAGTAGAAAAAGCTTGCGTTTCAATCCCTTTTTCCTTATTAAAGCATGTCGAGCTCAAGGAAGAAAACCATTTGAAATTTGTGAAATAAAGCTCATACATCTCCCTTTGGATGATTTAGGGACCATGGTCACTGGTCACTGTTGCTTGAAAGTGTGGAGTTGACTCCTGGACTAATTTCCAGTATGTTCCTGCTGTTGTCGTCACCTCACCGCTAGCATTAGGTGAAACTGTGAAGTCTCAGCGTGGACAAGGCCATTGCTGAGGGAGGGCCTGTCTTTTAAATTCAGGTCTCGCCCATTAGCTGCTGTGGTTTGAGCTTCCAGTGGGTAGTATTATCGTTTAAAAAGAGTGGACATTACTGTCATCTAATTGGAAGAACGGTATCCATGTAGGTTTTGTTTTGTGACTAGAAGCTCTCTGCTTTTGCTTCTGAAAAGTTGCTGGAGGGTTAGACCTATTGACAGACCTTCCGTTGTGACATAGGGCATCAGAAAGAAAAGCCGAGCCTGACAGAGGAAGGGAGATTGAGGACAGGTGGCCAGATGGGCTTGAGGTTGCTGTGGTCTAAAGCCTTGGAGGCCAAATACTAGGAAAATTAGGTTCAAAATGTAAACAAAAGGCATGGGTTTCTGTGGTTAAGTCATTTTTGGTTTAAAACTAACATATGGGGACTTCCCTGGAGGCACAGTGGTTAAGAATCTGCCTGCCTGCCAATGCAGGGGACACGAGTTTGATCCCTGGTCCGGGAAGATCCCACATGTCGCGGAGCAACTAAGCCCGTGCGCCACAACTACGGACCCCTGCGCACCGCAACTACTGAAGCCCGTGCGCCTAGAGCCCATGCTCCACAACAAGAGAAGCCACCACAGTGAGAAGCCCGCGCACCACGACAAAGAGTAGCCCCCTCTCACCACAACTAGAGAAAGCCCGCGCGCAGCAACGAAGACCCAACGTAGCCCAAAAAAAGAAAAAAAAAAAAAACTAGTGTGAATTGACCCTTACATCAATTAGGATTGGAGTAAGTCAAACATACTGAAGGATTAGTAAGGATGTTGCCTCCATTGGACCCAAGTCTTTGTTTTAAGAGTTGTTATGGCTGTTCTTTAAATTTGATGCTTGTTGACATTCATTAAGTCTTAGGTATATTTTTCTTGGAGGAGGGTTGGAGGAAGGCATAATGGAAATGTATTGGGGCTTTAAGTCCTGGGTTTGTAACACCAGGCTAATACACCTGCTGCCCCCTGGTGGCAGCGTATTAAATAGTGCAGTTCAGAGGTGAGGAATTCTGGAGAGCTAAAGTCCATTGTATTGATAGAAGTGGATGGTAGAGTGAGCCAGGAGATGGTTTCTCTTTCCAGCTCTTATAATTTCTACCTGTAGTTATGATCTTAGGCAAATAATTTAGTACGGTTAAGTCTAGATTTCACTTTATTCTACTTTAAAAAGTAATTTCTAAAGTTTCTTCCTATTTTAACTTCTTAAAATTCTCCAATGGTAATGGCAAATAATATTTAGTGAAAGATATCAAGTTCCACTTTTTGCTTTACCAGATGAATTTTTAAAAATCGGAGATATTTCTTCAAGAAAGAGGACTCCAGAGCAACTCCTGAATACG